GGGCAGCGCGGGCCCCACCGGAGCCCCTTTGTCTAATCTCTCTGCTGGTCTTGTGACGCTGATTTTCTGTGCTTCACAGCCTTTATTGCCGCAGCCTTGTTAGTCCTTGCGGGAGGAGTAAAGGAATCTTCGTCCCGGAAGACACCACGTGACTGATGAGGATGTCCAAAGCTGTTCATGCTCGGAGCAGCAGTGAATGCCACGGGCTCTGATGTGTTTCATGTGCTCTGATATGACAGCTTGAACGTCTGCCTCTTACTTACAGCCACAAACTGCATTACAACTGCTGTTTTATAGCTGAAAACTTGATTAGCAAAGCAGCCTGTGCATTCGTAACCACCTGCGCTGGTGGGAAGTGTTCCCGCTGGAACTGGCTGGGCTTTCAGGCCCCTCCAGCCCAGATAACTCTGGGACTGTGTGATGTGATGGCTCGTTATCTTTTCCCTCTCTGCAGAAACACCTCATTGACCAGGCCCTGAGCAGAGCCCAGGGGTTTGTTGAGGAGGGAAGGCCCGAGGACGCGATCCCTGTGGCACTGCAGGCCCTGCAGCTCAGCGCCCACGTGTATGGCACCAGCTCTGTGCCCCTGCTGCATGCTTATCTCCTCCTGGCCCAGGCCTCCGTGGGTGAGCATTGTCCAAACAGGAGCCCTGGCAAGTGCAAGACCTCCCCTGGGTCAGGTTTCTGGTTTCATTTTACCATTTAGCAGAGAGAGAGCAGCTCTGGGCAGTGTCTCTGCCCTGCTCTGCCTCAAGGGCGTTGCAGAAAGAGTTGAGAAGTCACACACCCCCACACACACCCCTCTCACACCCCCTGTTCTGTGTGGGGCTGGGCAATGGGATCACTCATAGAATCAGCAAGGTTAGAGGAGACTTCTAAGAGCATCAAGTTCAGTCTGTCACTGTTGAAACCCCTAAGCCCTAAACTATATTCTCCAGCACCAGATCCAGGCACCTCTTAAACACCTCCAGGGATGGTGACTCCACCACCTCCCTGGGCAATATTCCAGTGCCTGAACACCCTGACAGGGAAAACATTTCTCCTAACATCTAATCTGACTCTCCCCTGTCTCAGCTTATGACTATTCCCATGTCCAAGCAGGGATCAGTGAAGGCAGATGGAGCCATTCCTACAGGAGGAGCTGTATGCAAATCTCCTTGGTGGCCTGAGGTGACTCTAGGCCACGTTTCCTCGCCGAGGGAGGTTGGCTGTGCCCTTATCTAAGGGCAGCAGCAAACAGTGCTGAGGCCGTTGCCCCTACAATGCCCCAGTCCATTCACAAATCCTGCTCTGCCTCGGCACAGCTTTCTCCTTTGTGTGCTTTGGGAAACGTGGCAAATCAGGGCCTGAGAGCTGCCCTGCTCAGCTGCAGAGGGCTGAGAGATCCCGTAAATCACTACCATTCCAGGAGCACACACAATGCTCCCTGGCAGGGCAGAGCTGTCTCAGGGCTTGTTGTAAATGGTGCGGTGAGAGCAGGGGAAAAAAAAAAATCCTGTGAGTAATTCCAGTGTGACAACGTGAGAGTCATCAGTGGCTGCCTGGAATGAACCTGTCTGGGACACGTGATCCAGAGATAGGGAGTGCAATATACCCTCTGCCATGGAGCCAGGCTGGGAGAGCTGGGGGTGTGCAGCCTGGGGGGTGAAGCTCCAGGGAGACCTCAGGGCTCCTTCCAGTTCCTAAAGGGGCTCCAGGAGAGCTGCAGAGGGACTTGGGACAAGGCCTGGAGGGACAGGACACAGGAAATGGCTTCACAATGGAAAAGGT